ATGGGATCGATTTTTTGCTTTAAGAAACCTTTATGAACACAGGGACCACATTTGTCTTGTTTATCACCATTACCTCAACGCCATGTACCTGCCACATGGTGTGTGCTACATAAAGATTTGTTGAATGAGGGGCGCCTGGGTGGCTCAGTTGGTTAAGCGACTGCCTTCGGCTCAGGTCATGATCCTGGAGTCCCGGGATCGAGTCCCGCATCGGGCTCCCTGCTCGGCAGGGAGTCTGCTTCTCCCTCTGATCCTCCCCCTCTCATGCTCTCTGTCTCCCATTCTCTCTCTCAGATAAATAAATAAAAAATCTTAAAAAAAAAAAAAAAGATTTGTTGAATGAATACATAAATTAACAAGCAAATTTTTAAAAGCGAGTTCTGAATTTATACTTAATTGGATATCAGTTGGTCCTACTGAACCATGAGCTTCTCCGAGCAAGAGACTTTCTTATTTATTCTTGTATTTCTGGAATCTAGGACAGCCCCTGGGAGTGATACACTCTCCCCTAGCATCACACCACTACACATACATTGTTTGCAGAATAGTTTGATAACATGCCCATGTCATATAGCAGTGAGGTAAGAATCCAATCTACCATATATATTGTGTATCTACCATTTTACCACATACCTCCTACTTTTTGTAATACTGGGATTCACTTTATGGGAGCAGAGGTTAAAAATAATTTCTATTTTTTTTAGAAACTACTACACACTGGACATTTTGCATCTATTATTTCTAAATCTTCCAACAATACAGTTCACCAATAACAAAAATGAAGCTAAGAGAGTTTAACAAATGAAAACTAAGATTACTCACCTAGTAAGATGGTAGCTGGAGGAACTAGGTCAAGCCTGCTGTGTTGGACTCCAGATCCCAATCTTTCTCCTCTATGCCAGGCTATTTTCTTGTTAACATCTATTCCCAATGTTCAGCTTACCAGGCCCCAGGTAATTAAAACAGCCCTTGGTGCTCCATGAATTCCTGGGGCATGTTCCTACTCATAGAACTGTCCTGGCTAACTAGGCACTGAACTGCTGTCTCCTTCACTGAGAGCCCCCACCCTTCCCAAAGATTTCACAAGGTGGGGGAGGGGGTTTGAGCATATTCCCCAAAGGCAAAGCCAATAAACCACAAAGGAAGTTTACCCTGAACTTCCTCAAGAAGCCCAGCTGAAAGGAAGCTTCTGTTGCCTAAAAACAACCTGGAGATTTTCAATTTTCAGGTCTTTCTGGAAAGACCGGGATGCCTCAGGTCCTGAAACAAGGTCTTCCTCTGAGATGTTTCATAACTACATGTGGACTGTAGGCTGAGGTAATGAGGAGAATCTCTCTCTTGAACACCCACAGCTCTCCCTCTCTCTCTCTCTCTCTTCCACACACACACACACTTTCTCTCAGATTTCTTTGCAACATCCATTCCCAATTCCATCAGAGCTGCCAGCCAGGGTTCCTTGATGCTTCTGTTGACACCTCTCCTTGGTTCACACCACTTCCCAGGGCTTTGAGAACAAAGAACAGAGACAGCTCTTACCCCTGCTTATGCCTCTCAGCTAGTGAGAGCTAAAATACCACTTGGAAGTTACAGCAGTTTTCAATCTTGATCAGAGGAGGGTCCCATATATTATCCCATTTTATCAGACAAACTGCCACTCTACTGTTGTGTCCAGGAACCCGAGCTCATCCTGACTCTGTTTAGCATGGCACTCTCATTGGCTTCAACTGATTCCTCCATCAGCCCTTGTTCACACTTCACCTTCAGGGAGAATCTCCTTCAAGAGGGGATCCTGCCCAGGAGTTCTCAAAATGGCACCCTCTCAGCAGCCATAGAGACTATATGAAAATGGACTGTTGAGCCTGGCCTCTCATCTTTTAAAGGTTAATATAGCCATTTCCATCTGTTCTCTTTTGTTGTTATGGTCCGAGAGCCATTTGGGCTACGCTTAGAAATGCCCTATTAAAGCTGTGGATATTGAGGGGTTTTCAGATCTAAGCTGGAGGAATAACATCTTGCCTTATCACATTAGGTATTTTCCAGGAAGGAAAAACAAGCATGTCTCCATGGCTTTGTAGTTTAAGGTGACCTACAGCAGGACAGGACCTGGACCACAGTTAATTATTTGTTATAGAAAATATGCTGTTGCGGGGCGCCTGGGTGGCTCAGTCGTTAAGCGTCTGCCTTCGGCTCAGGTCATGATCCCGGGGTCCTGGGATCAAGACCCGCATCAGGCTTCCTGCTCAGCGGGAAGCCTGCTTCTCCCTCTCCCACTCCTCCTGCTTGTGTTCCCTCTCTCGCTGTCTCTCTGTCAAATAAATAAAATCTTAAAAAAAAAAAAAAGAAAATATGCTGTTGGGGCACCTGGGTGGCTCAGTCAGTTAAGTGTCCAACTCGCAGATTTTAGCTCAGGTCATAAGTCAGGGTGTGGAGCCTGCTTGGGATTCTCTCTCTCCCACTCCCTCTGCCCCTACCCGCCCCTTAAAAAATCTGCTTAAAAAAAAGAGAAAAGAAAATGTGCTGTTTACCAATGTTTGTAGACTATCACTTAGAAAAAAAATTATTAAATTCTAAATATATATATTTTTAATTTTTGCGAGGAGAGAGAATAAAAGTGACTCTTTAGGACAAGGAATGCATGTAGTAAGAAGCAACTAATGTGACGGACCTGCTAGGAATAGAATCCCGGTAGACCTGGCAAGGAATTACGCTCCCCCAAGAGTAAATCTGAAAGAGGTCCGGGGGAAGGCAGAGGGAGGTAAGAGCCCCGAGCTGAAGCTAATTAGTGCTCAATAAACAAATGCGAGCATTTTGCTTTCTGCCTAATTTCAGGCCCGCCTTCCAAACAGCTCAGATGATGAGTTCTTAAGGAAATAAATAAAAGTTCAAATTCCCATAGCAATTCGATTTACAAAGTGAATTCTATTTGATTTGTGGAGGAACAGCTTGTGTTTTGTTTTGTGTCAGAGCCTCTGAATGGCAATTCCAGAAAAAATGTGCTGAGTCATGAATTCCTAAGGGTGAAAGATTTTGACAAGAACATGCGTCGGGAGGGCAATAGCTGTGAGAGCAGCACCAGTTAGGGGTAACAGGAGGCCCCTTCTTCCTCTAAATGAGGCCCTTGGAAGCATTTACCCCACACCCGTGCCCAGGAACACTTGACACCTCCCTCAGAGACTGAGGCCACACCCTAAGGAATAATGAGAGTAACAAAAATAATAACAGCTAGTATTTACTGAACAGGTGCCAGGAATGTATATATGGGTTATGTTATTTAATTCCCCTAACAGCCCTATGACATGTTTGACCAGGGAGGAAACCTAAGGCTTTGCGAGGTTAAAGGTTAAATAATACGCTCACAGTCACCTAGCACAGGACCGGGGCTAGGATTTGAACCCAGAAACCATAGCCTTAACAAATATGTGTACCGCATCTCTGGATATTGTCCCTGTATTCATACATCTCTGATCATTTTAACTGATTGTAGTCAGACTCCTGACTCAAAGAGGCATTTTATTAACCGGCATCCTTCAGACACTCTTGACCGCAGAGCAAAAGGTCCCCCAGGATCGTTATTAATGAGGGAGAAATAGTATGGCACTGCTAATGTAAACTGTGTACTTGATGTGTTTAAAATAATACTCCTAAGTAAGAGAAAAAATGAGGCATTCTTTCCTTCAAAAGAGAGCTCTCCTTTATTTCCCAGAACGTTGCGAGTTAAGATAATCCCAGATTGATTGCTAGAAGTTGAGGCTCTCTGAGGTCAGGGGACTTTTCCAGCCAGCACAACAAAACTGACAGTCCCCACGGTCATGACCTCCCAGTGCTGCGACTCCTGGTTCCTGGGAACGGTTCCTCACGGGGCTTTTAAAAGGTGGTGGCTAGGGGCGCCTGGGTGGTTCAGTTGGTTAAGCTACTGCCTTCAGCTCAGGTCATGATCCTGGAGTCCCTGGATCGAGTCCCGCATCGGGCTCCCTGCTCGGCAGGGAGCCTGCTTCTCCCTCTGACCCTCCCCCCTCTCATGTGCTCTCTCTCTTTCATTCTCTCTGTCTCAAATAAATAAATAAAATCTTTAAAAAAAAAAATAAAAATAAAAGGTGGTGGCTGAAACTTCTCTCTTGATGATATGGTCACCCTAGAGAAAATTAATTCAGCAACTGGCTCCTGGGAGGCTTATCAGAGACAGAGTGAAGGAGAAGGCTGAAAGGAGGAAGCAGGGGCGCTAACAAAGTCCCAGGCACTTGGAAGGTTACAAAATACCATTTGAGTCGCAAAAGAAAGATTATATTCTAGTCAATTATAATTTCATTAAGTGTGTTTTTAAATGTTAATTCTTGGGTGCCTGGCAGGCTCAGTCGGAAGAGCAGGTGACTCTTGATTCCGGGATCATGAGTTCAACCCCTGACACAGATACATAAACTTTTTAAAAAAAATGTTAATTCTTAGGAAATGGGCAAATCTTGAATAATTATTTACATAAACATGACTTGTCTATTCACTAAAGGATTGGCTTTATAGCAGCCCTCCCACCCAAGCCCCATTTCTTAGCCATGTTAGAAATCAGAGGGTTTACTAGAAACTTTCTTCATTTTGCTTTTGGAAGCTACTTATATATGTTGTCCATATCATGACAATTATGTTTTGTACCATACAATGAAGACTATAATCCTCACCTCACAGGGCTATAATGAAAGATATATAATATAATGTGCCTAGAACATATTAAGAATTCCATTAATGACTGCCAACATCATTATTAAAAATCTCAAAGAGAAACCTATCCCCTTTTCCTCAAAAGGATTCTCTAGGATTGACATGTTAGCTTTTTGGAAGGCAATGGTCAAAATAGTTTAGCAGACTGACTTGAATATGTTGAGGTCCAGTCACCAAATTCTGGGGTCTGAAGTGAACATGTGGTAATTAAATTTTTTTACATTCAAGTGAAATGTCACTGCAATTTGGGGGCGGAGGATGGCTAAGAAGAGAAAAAGCAACCAAACCAGTGCAAAACAAACCAAAAAAATATTTTATTGTAACATAAAATTCATTCCCTAGACAACGGAAAATGCACACACTGGATGACATTAGTAGACAGAGTGAAGATGCATTTGGACAATTATCAACATTGATGAATGTGGGGATGTTGTGAAAGTTAAATTTTTCAGGTTATAGGATTTCCTGAATATAATATTGGCAAAAAGGAACTTTCAACACAAAAACATTTAGTTTAAATTTTTAAAATGTCACTTCTTTTATTTACTAACCTTGACAGTAACTAAAGAATGAGGTACAGAAAACTTTCCAGAAGTCTGAGTATGGAGTAGAAGTCCAAGGCACTTTGGAGCCCCATTATTGCATTATTGAGTAGGATTAACTCAGTTATGAAATTCCCCCACACTCCAGGTTTACTCCATAGAAAAATAGTACTTACCTACTTCACTGAGGTGTGGTGGGGCTTCATGCTTATAAAGTGCTTTAGGCGCCTTCCAAGAAAGGCAACATAGAAGTATAAAATCTTACATATTTCAAAAGAAATGAAAAGAAAATTTTGGCACAATAAGAGTGCGTCCTATTTAAAGAACCACAGTTGGCTATTTCTAAAAACACCTCACCTCAATGGTTTATTGCTTTTTTGTTTTTTATTTAAGAGAATGACTCTTTCTCTATTGCCAGTCTTATAACAGCCATTCTCGACGGCTCTGTTGTCAGAATTCCTTGAAGAGCTCACTAAAAATATTGAGGCTTGGCCCACAGCCTACACCTACAGAATTAAAATCTCTAAGAGTAGTGCTCAGGCAACTATATTTTTTAAAAGATCTAGCGGATTCTATCATATAGCAAAGTCAAAAAATATTTCTTTAGGAAAATGTCCATTTATTAAACATTGATTTTTTTCCAAAAATTTTTATAAGATTGAATAAACTTGGATCAGGGTATGAATTTCTTATTGCCTTCTTCTCTTTCCATGTCCCACACAGACTTGGAGTACACACACACACACACACACACACACACACACGTTTTAGTTCTACCCTTGAATTAAAATTTGATAGTGGTAAAATCTGATAGTAGCAAATAAACGGTTCATTGAGAAGTTATGCAAGGATTTGCAATTCATTCCCACTGTGCCCGAAGCAAATGGATGTTGCCCATTTGCCAGAGCGGAATGGTTTACGCATTTCCAATTTGGAAACAGGTAAAATCAGCACTTCCTGGGAAACATCAGTTGACTGGATGCTGACAAAGAGTGAGCATGGTTATGGCAGCCAACCATGAGCAAGGCTGTGGTGAGTGCCCCCGTTTGGAGACTGCCTGCCTCTCAGCAAACAACTTAGGAAATGAAACGATTTAAGCGCAGTGGGTCCGAACATGGGGTGCTGCCTCAAGGGAAATAAAATCAAATAGTGAAAACTAGTGACTGTAATTCAAAATAGCTTTGAGAAAAAAAAGATCGGCTTGCTCCACTGCAATTCTTAATGCCATTTTAGTAACTGTTTTCATGTACCAGCCAGTCTAACATAGAGAAGAGAGTGATTTAGTCCCTAGTGGCCTTCACATAGAGCTCATCATGCTGCCTGCATCAGTTTTAAAATAGAAGAGCCCCCTCCGGGTGCCTTGCAGTGGAACTAATGGAGCCTACAGAAAAATTATATTTCTTTACGCAGAGAAAGCCTTCCGAGGCAGGCCAAAATTTTTACATCATCAAGAACTCATGAGTAATGAGTCCCACTTCTTGGAAAAAGAAAAAAAGGGAAAAAATATATACGGGAGATAGAAGCTACATATACAGTACATAGAGAATAGGATTTGTTAAAAAAAAAAAAAAATTTCATTCAGAGTCAGCCACAGTGAAATTCTGCTATGAGAAAAGTCTGTAGCGCCTTCCAATATTCCTCTAAACATTAGAGGTAACTTTGTACAGAAAGGTTGTTGGAGCCGGCCTGGGCAGCAGCTTGTTGCATGTGTCCCAGGAGGGCAAGGCGGCCAGCAGCAGGATGAAGCCTCCCAGCAGGACGCAGAAGCCACTGAAATAAAACGCGGTGTCATAGGTCTGGGTCCAGTCATAAAACCAACCTGAAAAGAGAGTAAGAAATAAGTGAATTTGATAGAAATCGTATGAAAGGGAAGCCCATCCTCCATTAAGTTCATCAATCTTCGATACAGTAAGGATCGGGATATATATTAATTACCCCATGTACTCTATAGCAGACTACTGGGAGTCAGCAGAGAAGAACTTCCCAAATAATTTGGACAAGGATAAACAGGCATTTTGAGTTTCTCCCAAATAAAAAATGAACACAACTCCCTGAGCAAGTATACTGGCCTTTTCAACTATATCAAAGTGATTATGAATAAATCATTACCAGGAGACATCTATGCAGATTTATTTTGTGCTAATCTGTGCTACTATAACAATCTGGATTTCTATATCCAGGGATGTTACAAAGAAGAACAGTAAAATAGACTGACTTTAAGAAACATCTTACCAACAATTGGTGGTCCAAGGCTATTTCCAAGTCCAGCAAAGAACATTAATATCCCATAGGCATGGGCTAATTTTTCAATTCCCACAGTCTTTGTGGTCACATATGGGAAGATGGACCAATTACCAGTCAGAAACCCTAGAATCCCAGAAAGTATTGCCAATGTGACATAACTTTTGGCAAATGGAATTGCACACAAGGCCAGGCCCATGATTACTAAGGTAGCCACGTAAAGATGTAAGGTATTAATCCACTTAAAGTCAGCCAGTATCCCTAAAAGGAGTTTACCCACTGCTGTCATAATACCAATAATGGAAATGAGAGGCATAATAAGCTCTTCTTCTTTCACATTTGAACTTCTTGCCACATCTTCCATAAGTAAAGAAGGTGGAAATCCCCCGATGTCAAAAAGGAAGATCGCAATGAAGAGGGCTGAGAATACTTTGTTTTTAAAAAGAGCCACAGTTTCTCCACAGTAGTCTTTATATAATTGCCACTTCCTCTTGGCAAGCTGTTTGCAAAAATATGTCTGTTCTGCGACTTTCTTTTTGTATGTTTCAGCCTCTTTTGCGTGCGCCACTGTTGCTGGGTTTTTATGAAGTAGACTCTCCTGTTTGCGGCCACCACTGGCCAAGGTGCTCTTGCGTGTTTCCTCAGCACCATAGCTCTTTCCAAGAACGTTTGTGTTCTCTTCCAGGTCCTTTCCTTTCTCACTGTAAATGGAGTATCGATCTGGTACACTTTCCAGAGCTGTTTTTTCAGGCAAAGGGCAATCAGAAGACTCAAGGGGTCTCATCAGGCTGCCACAGGCTAATATATTTAAAGCTAAGGCACCCACAATCAGCAGGCATCCATCCAGCCCATAGAACTCAATCAGCAACCTCTGCAGAGCAGCGTATATAAAAAGTCCAACACTTGAACCTAAAAAGGAAATGAGAGCTGTTCAATCTTAATCTCTTACAAATTTGGGACTATCAGAACAACCATTATTAATATCGGCCAAATAAGATTGGTAAAGGAAGGAGCATGATTATATTCCAGTAAACCTTTATCTATGGACATTGAATTTTTAATTGCACATAATTTTCATATGCCCTGGAACATCCTTATTCTGATTTTTGTATTGACTATACAAAAATGTAAAAATCATTCTTAGCTCATGAGCTCTCCAAAAACAGGCAGTAGACCAGATCTGGCCTGTGGACATTAGTTACCAACCCCTGTTCACCAGGGAACAAGATCACTTCCCTAAAATCTTTGTTTCATGCCCATGTTCCTTTCTTTCAGTGAGGTCACAATATTTCACATATTTTGATTTTTGGTTTCTTTTCAATTTTTAAAAAATTCTGCTGTGAGGTTTGTTTTGCTTGTCATCTTTCACTGAATGTGGATGCTATGGGCTGAATGTCTGTGCCCCCACCCCAATTCATATGTTGAAATCCTAACCTCTAACATGATGGTATTAGGAAGTGGGGCCTTTGGGGGGTGATGAAGTCATGAACCCATGGAGCACTCATGAATGGGACTAGCACCCATATCAAAGAGACCCCTGAGAGACCCCCTTCCCTGCCACCATGTGAGGAAACAGCAAGAAAATGGCAATCTGCAGCCTGGAAGAGGTCTGTCACCCGAACCCCACCATGCTGGCATCCTGATGTCGGATTCCCAGGCTCCAGAACAGAGAAATACACTTCTGTTGTAGATAAGCCACCTAGTCTATGGTACTTTGTTATCACAGCCCAAAAGGACTAACTAGATCCATGATTCTACCTAATTTTGCCTCACTGAGCTCCCTGTGAGTTGAAACTAAAAACTCCTTAATTCTGCCAAATCTTAACTGTCCAGAGTCGATCCATTTTTACTTCAGTGTGCCATGGCCCAGGCCCTCATGCCCTCCTTTCTAGACTGAGTGAAAGCATACAGCATACAATTTCTGGCACCGTCAGCATACGTGAATTTGGACATTACGGGAAACCTAGGTCATAATTACAATAGTCCGTGTTTTAGAGCCCTTGCTATGTGCCTTACACATATGTTCCTTTAATATTCCCAATAACTTGATGTGATGAGTACTATTATCCCCATTTTACAGTTCAGAAAACTGAGGCTTAACTCACAGTTAACTGAACAGAACGGTTACATAACTTGTCTGTCACCAGACAGCAAGTGAGTGACGCAGGTAGGATTCAAAACCAGGTCTTCTGGGTCCGGGGTCTGTGTTTGTTGCTACATTACAATGCCTCTACCAAAATAGAGTGCACGTAAGACCTATTGTCCTTTAAGCTCATGCCCACCCTCACGCTTTCTCCCACACTTGCAGGAGATCCTGTAAGGTTCTTTGAACAAAATTCCAACTGCTTTGGGTTCTCTGTGTTCTGTTTTTGCTATTTCTTCTCCCAGTTCTGCCTCAGCCTAGCCGTGTCCTCAGACTCTGGCCCTGTCCTGTCCCCTCTTAGACCATAATTCACATTTCTCACCTGGCAATGCTTCCTTTAACCACCTTTGGTAAATATCCCGCTCCATTTAATTCAATCTGGAATCACTTTGTTGCCACTGGGTTGGCCTCAGGAATAAAACGTTAGTTTGGATTCTGTTGCCAGAAAGATCATTGAACTTACTCAGTTTCTCTGGAAATCTGACCTCCCAGGACCCCGTGCTCATTAACGAGTAAGGAGCATATGTAAACGTACAACTTTTACTCAACTTGACATCTCTGTTTCCTAAGCAAACTCATAAAATATTGGCCACAGAAAATTTTGATAAGTTCCCTAAACAGCTTAGGAAAAAATCCATCTGAAAAGTGCGAGGCCACGTTAAAACATCAGAGGAAGTCCAGAAGGCTTTTTTATTTACATTTCCCCCCAGTGATCATCTCTTGATTATTAAAGGAAGAACAAGAGTCAACAGCTGTCATGTGGATATGCACATGGCCAGGGAGATGCATTCATAAATCAGGACTTTAGAAAAAACTGTACACTCAGCAGTAAATGGAGATGGTGAGATGTCGGCATCAAGCTTCCTGATGGAGCCCTGGGGTCCCCACTTTCCTGGCATTTTTCCTACCTCTCCCAGAGAGAAGGTGACTCACGTAAGTGCACTCTGCTTCTTTAGTAAAGCTCTCACCAGCTTGTGACTCTCACTTGACTGGGCCCATAAGCTTCTCCTTCCTTTATTGTATTGGTCATCAAATGCCCCAGATTTTTCGTATATGTATCCTAGGATTTTCTGGAAGCTACACCCTTATTCACAGTGGAAAATAACATTTCCTTCTCGGGCTAGAGTAAAAACTTCCTTCTCGGGCTAGAGTAAAAAACTCGAGTAAAAACTCCCTAAGTGGGAGCTGGGAAGTGGTTGGTTAAACATCTGTGTTTGGTAACTTTTGACTTTGATTAGAAGGCTGGATAGTGACAATGCTATACTTATGTTGAAAATGTACCTGTTGAAATCAGGCCAAGGGCAAGGCCTCGGTGGCTGTCAAAATACTGGCACGTAATGGTCACTGTTGCCGTGTATAATAAACCACATCCGAGTCCTAAACATAAGAAGACATTGCATAAATAAGACAGACTATAGTACTTCAATGCAAAAACAAAAAAGACTAAGTATCTCCAGTGGGCCGTTCTGTTTCTGACTGGCTAAAACTCTTCAGAGCATGGATTCCTGGATCCTTTAGATGTCATTGTGCAGCTCCAATGAACATATTTGGGTAGGCTCAGCTCTCACTCCACACCCATCCTAAGGTTGGGCTCAAGTCAAAAAAAAAAAGTCCAATTTCTGAAGCATGAATGAATAATGCAAATTTAAATCAAGACATTGCGGGCAGATAAAGACAATGGTTAAGTCACCAAATAGTAAAATTTAATCAAACGTGCCTTTCTGCCTCTATTCCAAGTCCTTGCCCTGAACTCACTGTCCCTTCCTCCTCAAAGTGCTCTAAACAATTTGAGAAAGTTCCCTTCACTGGTCCAAGCTATTTTGTGAGAGGTTATAGTTTGCACACCCCAGTCTACAAAACAAAGACCCCCCCCCACAAGTCCTCTGGGGTTCTCAGATCATCCCATCACAGTAAAATATAGATTTGTAAGTTTTTTTCTTTCAGAGATGCAAACTACCCTATTTAGGAGTAAAATGTCTTTAATTTAGTTTAAAATATCTATGCAAAAACAAAAAAGGAAGCAAATACAATAAAATATTAACAACTGTTAAGTGGAACATACAGCTTTTGCTATATGATTCTCTATTTTTCTGTAGATTTGAAATTCTCTTATAATTAAAAAAAGGTACATTACTAAATTTCCCTTTCTTGAGACCCAAGGACAATATTTATCTCCAGATCTTCTCCAAGGCTTTTATTAGCTTAAATCTTTTCTTTCCTATTTAGCACCTGATAAACCCAGTTTGTTTTTCATAAAATTCTCCTCTGGCTTCTAACTCATGGCTTTTTGCCTTTCCTCTGCAACATTATCTGCTCTTGAGGATCATTCTATAACAAACACATAGCTATAGTTTAAAAACTGGATTTTAACCGTGGTCCATTAAATGAGTTAAGATCATTTTCAGTACTTTTAACTGGTACCTAAACTATGATTAGAAAGAATACATGGGCTTTACGAATATACTGCATAACTATTTTAGGAAATTAACATTTTAAACAACTTAAGACCCAGAGGATCATCTGTGATTCCATAAAAAGTCTTCTTAAAGAAATGAGATAGACTAAAACAATTACGCTTTAAGCAAACTTTTTAACATAAAGTGACCTTTTTATATGATTTAAGGGGAAAAAATATCTCATCAACTAAAACATGAGTTGGATTGATTTATACAGTTACTATGTGTATATAGGACACTTCAAGATATGAAATAAAACTGTTTTTAAACAATCAATTTCAAAACCAAAAAATGTCACCCTCAGCTGAGACTATACATCAGAAAGCCTTTGGAGGACGAATGAATTTACTTTTCTGTGATTTGGTTGTCAGGGCTCTGTCAAATGTTAGGCATTAGAGACAAGAAAAAAAAAAGACATTTCGGATTGCTAAATGTCAGTGTCAGAAAAGTTGAAACAACAACTTTTAAACTTTTAGCCTGAGACCAAAAAAAGGCATTTTTAAGAATTATTTGAAGGCCATGGGTTTCCGTTAAGTTTATTTCACTTTTTTTTTTAATGTCACAGAAACTTGAAATGCTTTCTCCTTAAATTTTTGAAAAAGTTAGCATGATGCCTTCCTACGTCTGTATCAGGCTGACCTTAAACTGGAAGTTATTACAGAGGGGTCCCTAGAATCTCCAAGATCTTTCCTAGAGTCCATAAAGTCACAACTATTTTCCTCATAGTCTTAACTAGTCTCCCACTTATCCGCAGTTTTGCTTTCCATCGTTTCAGTTACCTGCAGTCAACTGCAGTCCAGAAGCAGATGATACTCCTGACGTATGGTCCGAAGGTCAGTAGTAGCCTAACGTTAGGTCACAGCGCCTACGTCATTCACCTCACTTTGTCTCATCACTCAGGCATTTTACCATCTTGCATCATCACAAGAAGGGTGAGTACAGTACAACAAGGTATTCTGAGAGAGAGACCACTTCACTTAACTTTTATTACAGTATATTGTTATAATTGTTCTATTTTATTATTAACTATTGTTGTTAATCTCTTACTGTGCCTAATTTATAAATTAAACTTTATCATAGGTGTGTACATATAGGAGAAAACATAGGGTTCATTACTATGCATGTTCAGACATTCATTGGACTTGGACTGTATCTCCCATGGGTAAGGGGGGACTACTGTAACACTAACATGATCTCTGCTTTTTTTCACTGTGTTTACATTTACACTGAGGGAGCAAAAGAGATGGTGAGTAAAACCACAAGGGCCTTAGCACAAATCAAGGTATTGGTACCAAACTTTGGTATCAAGTTATGCTACATAACCACCTACTCACAATAAAAACAAACAAAATTTTTTAAAAATGCTTCATTTGAATTCCAACAATTGTTACAAGGAAAAGCCCTTATGCAATTGTTTTAGTAGCCAGCTCAAATAGCCCCTCTTTTCCTGTGTAACCTTGTTTGTATTTGAAAGAATATCAGACAAACTGCAGTTACTCAGACTTGGGTATTAGGCAGACATCTTTTGAAAACAAACTAAGAAGGGAGACAACTGGCAATAATTGCTACCAATGATAAAATCCAAACATTACAGAAAAAAATAGAATTTTAGAAAACTTGTATCCATGACCATGAATTTGGACAGCTTCCTAACATATAAAGGTTTTCTGATGAGTCTGCTGGTGATAGTAACAAAAGTGATTTTTGATGTTGTATAATGAAATTTAACAATATTTATAAGTTCTTTCATAACTCAGTGAACCAATATTTTTCAAATAACCAATTCATGATATTACAAAATCAGGCTTGAAAGAAGATCTATTCAAAGTGCAGAATATGTCATTTGCAACGATGTAGATGGAGCTAGAGAGTATTATGCTAGGTGAAATAAGTCAGTCAGAGAAAGACAAATACCATATGATCTCACTCATATGTGGAATTTAAGAAAGTAAACAGATGAACATATGGGAAGGGGGAAAAGAAAAAATGGAGAGAGGAAAACAAGCCATAAGAGACTCTTAACTCTAGAGAACAAACTGAGGGTTGATAGAAGGAGGTGGGTGGAGGATGGCTAGATGGGTGATGAGTAGGGCACTTGTGATGAGCACTGTGTGTTGTATGTAAGTGATGAATCACTGAATTCTACTCCAGAAACCAATATTGCACTGTATGTTCACTAACCAGAATTTAAATAAAAATTTGAAAAAATAAAGGTTAGGTATTATAACAAATAAAAAAAAAGAAATGAAAAAAAGAAAAAGCAAAGTGCAGAATAAATAATTGGGTTTAATATAACAGAGTATGAAAAGTATATTGATGTGGTACCAGGTTTCATATTACAATTAATGGTGGAAAATCATCACTCATCAAGTTTTGGTGTAGTATCAAAGAAGAATATCTACAATTACATGAAAAGGCTATTAAAAACTCCTCCCTTTTCCAACTACATCTTTGTGTGTACACACACAAAGATTTACCTCATACACTTCAATCAAAAAAACAGATCGCAACAGACTGCGTACGGAGCCGATATGAGAATCCAGAAGTCTTCTAAGAAGCCAAACATTAAAGAGATTTGCAAAACTGTGAAATAATGCAGCTCTTTTCACTAAATTCTGTTTTTCTTTTAGAAAATAGAGTTATTTTTCATAACAAGTTCATTATTTATGTTATCATGTACTGGGCTTGTTATTATCTTTAAATGCATTACTAACCAAATATTTTCAAATTTCTCAGCTTTTAATACAGTTAATTTTAACAGAATAAATATCTATAAGTATAATCCATATATTCAAAAGCTCCTTGGGGGTCCTACATAAAAGAGTGTAAAAAGTCCCAAGACTATAAAGTTTGGAAACCACTGTCTTTAAGCATCCCTTGGTCTCCAATCATTTTTAATCAGACTCCTATCAGTGAAAAAAATTCACTGATTCACATCAGCCTGCAGTATAATTTTTAAACTAAATACCTATATTACTAGCAATTCAAAGCAAAAACATTAGTAAAATATTATTGTTTCCTTTACTTAAATAGGTAAAAGCTAAATTTATTTACATGTTCTGACATTTCCTTTCCACACCTTATGTTCCATTTCACACACCTCTGAGCAAGACCACAAGTTCAGAGGCCTCTTTTCCCTCATCTCCTCCCATCAAACCAGACAGAAGCTCTTTAGTATACCCACTACCTAAATTATTAACCTCCCTCTCTCTCTGCCCCGCCCTGGCTCTGTTCACCACCTCATCTTTTCTGAGATGAATTCTGCCTTCCTGATCACTGTCTCAAGCCTCCAGTACTTTTCCCACCAATCTGTCTTCCTTTCTTTTTTTCTTCTTTTTCCATCAATCTATCTTCTAAGCTGCTGTCATACAATTCTCATTATGTCACACTCCAACAGTCAAGTCCGTATAAAAACATTTTGTCATCCGGTCTTTGGTGCACACCATGCTTTGAGGTATTTGCACCCCTCCACGTGACTTCTGCAGTCCTTAAACAAGTATCTGTAAAAACACTTTTTTTTTTAAAGATTTTATTTATTTATCTGAGAGAGAGAATGGGAGACAGAGAGCATGAGAGAGGAAGGGTCAGAGGGAGAAGCAGACCCCCCACTGAGCAGGGAGCCCAATGTGGGACTCGATCCCGGGACTCCAGAATCATGACCTGAGCCGAAGGCAGTTGCTTAACCAACTGAGCCACCCAGGCGCCCCTTGTAAAAACACTTTTATCCACGGTCTATCACACCTCTGAGCATTTGAGCTCCTGCAGTGTCTTCCTTCCACCCCCTCACTCCCCTTCGAAACCCATGCCTACCTGACCACATCCTACCTGTCCTTCCAGACTCAGCTCAAGCATGAACTGCATGAAGCCTGCTTCAGCACCCCCTCCCCCACAGGTACATTTACACCTACACGGAATGTTGGT